CTTTCTCCCACAGAGAGGCTGGTGGTTTTGAATGGCTGACCTTACAGTTAGCAGCCCAATGCATAACCACTTCGCCACTGAGGTTTTGCACTGAACTGCTAACCACAAAGGACTACAGTTCAAACCCACCAGCCACTGTGTAGGAGGAATGAGGCTGTTCACTCTCATGAAAATTTAAAGTCTCAGAGACCTAAGACAGGTCTACTGTTTTATAGGATAGCTGATTAGTCAGAATCAACTTGGTGGCAATGAGTTTTATTTTCTTTTGTTTTGATGTTGGTATTCCCCTTTAATGCAACTATATCCACAAATGGCAGAGCATACAAGGGGCGAAATTGTAAAAACTTCTTAGACACAACCAAACACCTTTAGGGAAGGAGCTGCTGGGTCTGGGGGCTCAGAGCCATAGGCTCCAGGGACAACAAGGTCAGTTGCCATAACACAGTGCCTACAGACTCTGTCCACCGTCTCACTTTAGTGAATAAGGACTGGGGTCTTAAAAGCTCATGAACAGTCATCTAAGGTGCAACTATGGGTCTCTTCCTCTCAGGAGGGAAGGCGAGTGATGAAAATTAGAGACACAAGGCAGTAATTTGTCCAATGGATGAATGGACCAGGCCAATATCAGTATCCACAACCCAAGACCAGAAGACCAGGTAGCTGGAGCCAGCTGCCATGACCAACTGCTCTAAATGGGATCACACTAGGAGACCCTGAACAGAGTGGGAGAACACTGTGGAACAAAGCCCAAATAATAAAAAAACGGGCCTAGTGGCTGTAAAGAGACTGGTGGGACCCTCAAGACTATGGCCCTTTCCATCAGTAGTCAAGTGGACATCCCCTGTCAGAAGGGTCACAAGGAAGAGACGAGGCAGCCAGGGTGCAGTATAGCACTCAACAAACATACAACTTTCCTCTAGTTCTTTAATGCTTTCTACCCCTGCCCACTATCATGACCCCAATTCTACCTTACAAATCTGGCCAGACCAGAACACCTACACTGGTACAGATAAATCTGAGCTCTCGACACAGGGAATCCAGGGCAGATAAACCATTCAGGACTAATAATGAGAGTAGCGATACTAGGAGGATAAGGGAAGGGGGGTGGTGATGGGGGACCAATCACAGTGATCAACATATAATCCCCTCCCAGGGAGATGGATAACAGAAGAGTGGGTGAAGGGAGACAGTGATCAGTGTCAGACATGAAAAAAATAATTTATAAGTTATCAAGGGTTCATGAGGGAGGGAAGGTGAAAGAAGGAGGGGGAAAAGAAAGAGGAGCTGATACCTAGGGCTCAAGTAGAAAGAAAATGTTTTGAAAATGATGATGGCAGCATATATACAGATGTGCCTGACACAATGGATATATGTATGGATTGTGATAAGAGCTGTTAAGAGCCCCCAATAAAATGATTAAAAAAAAAAAGACTACAGCCTTTTGTCAGCTGTCATGTCTGGAAATAAACTCACCCCCAATGCTCCATGTTTCAGCCAAACAGTAGACAGGCTGGGGGCCATTAGGTGTTAAGAGAGACTTCATATGGGTGATCTGGCTATTGGTCAGGGCTCCTGCCAGACCATAATGGCTCTTGCACCCCCCCCCTGCACCCACAGATCGTTGTGCAGAACCCACTGGTCTCGGAGCAGCTGGAGCTGTTGGTCCTCTACAAGGAGTATGCCGAGGATGACAACATCTACCAACAGAAGATCAAGGACCTCCCCCAAAAGTACTCATACATACGGAAGACCTGGCCCGACGGGAACTGCTTCTACCGGGCGTTTGGATTCTCCCACCTGGAGGCGCTGCTGGATGACAGCAAGGAGTTGCAGTGGTTCAAGGCCAAGAGCAAAGAGCAGCTGGTGTCTCAGGGCTTCACCGAGTTCACAATTGAGGATTTCCACAACACGTTCAGGGACCTGATCGAGCAGGTGGAAAAGCAGATCTCTGTGGCTGACCTGCTGGCGTCCTTCAACGACCAGAGCACCTCGGACTACCTGGTGGTCTACCTGCGGCTGCTCACCTCCGGCTTCCTGCAACGCGAGAGCAAGTTCTTCGAGCACTTCATCGAGGGGGGGAGGGGGTAGGCTGTCAAGGAGTTCTGCCAGCAGGAGGTGGAGCCCATGTGTAAGGAGAGCGACCACATTCACATCATCCCGCTGGCCCAGGTGCTCAGCATCTCCATCCAGGTGGAGTACATGGACCGTGGCGAGGGCGGCACCACCAACCCCCACGTTTTCCCCGAGGGCTCTGAGCCCAAAGTTTACCTTCTCTACCGGCCGGGCCACTACGACATCCTCTACAAGTAGGGCCACCCAGCCCAGCCATGTACAGAGGTTTTTTTGTGGTTGTAAATGGTTATATCTCACCCCACCCCCCTTTCTGTCCCACCACCTCCTGTATTTTATTAAAGAGGATGTTGGTGGTGAGCCCCATGTGTGTCTCCTGTGCTGCCCACCCCACCCCTTGGCTGCTGTGTGTCTGGCTACCCTCCTACCCACACCTCTAGGTGGGTCCCACCTTGTTTTCCCTTCTTAAGCCCCCACCCCCACCCCTACCCCCAGGAACAGCTCTGAAGGGTCAGGCCTCTTGGGGACGACCCTCTTGAGACCCTTGGGTTCGCTGAGACTGTTGGACTGGCCTTCCTGCCCTCCTTAGGGGCTTGCAGTTGGGGGACACAGGGCCACCCAGGCTTCCAGTGGCTCTCACCTAGGCCTGCTGCCCTGGATGGAGACCCCCTGCTTCTGCCCCCTGCTGGGGGCTGCATGGTTGGGACAGATCCCCAGTAGAGGGCCTGGCAGGAGAGGGTAGGCAGGAGAGCTGTTCTCCATCCCACACCCCCCTTCCTAGTGCACCCAATTTAGTGCCAGCCTTGGCAGGGGAGGTGTAGTTCCCAAGCTTGGGCAGGGCTCGGCAGTGCCCCCACTCCCCCAGCCTGTGCCTGCTTTGCACCCTCCCTGATTGGTCTCTGCATTCCCTCTCCCCTCCCACCTCCCGCACATGTGCAGTGTGGCCCCAGGCGGTGAGCTCCTTGG